ATGGCGTTCTGCGCTGTGTGGATGGCGTTCTGCGCTGTGTGGATGGCGTTCTGTGTTCTCTGGTTGGCGTTCTGCGTTCTCTGGTTGGCGTTCTGCGTTCTCTGGTTGGCGTTCTGCGCTGTGTGGATGGCGTTCTGTGCTGTGTGGATGGCGTTCTGCGCTGTGTGGATGGCGTTCTGTGTTCTCTGGTTGGCGTTCTGCGCTGTGTAATAAAAACAGAAACGCTCCGACGTCAACTCATCATCTTCACTCGGATGAACAAATAAATGGAATTGTTGGCCCGGCCGCCTCCTGACACCGACATGTACGGGATCTACACATCAATTATACATCAGAGCCGGGTGTGGGGGCTCCCTGTACTTGTCTCCCCGAGCCGCGCTCTTCATGTTTATGTGTTGTATGAAGAACATTGGAAACAAGCGAGGAGCAGAACACAGCAACCAGGAGCAGAGCGTTCCGTATCCCATAGCAACCAATGCTAGGAGCAGAGCGTTCCATATCCCATAGCAACCAATGCTAGGAGCAGAGCGTTCCATATCCCATAGCAACCAATGCTAGGAGCAGAGCGTTCCATATCCCATAGCAACCAGCGCTAGGAGCAGAGCGTTCCATATCCCATAGCAACCAGCGCTAGGAGCAGAGCGTTCCATATCCCATAGCAACCAGCGCTAGGAGCAGAACGTTCCATATCCCATAGCAACCAATGCTAGGAGCAGAACGTTCCGTATCCCATAGCAACCAGCGCCAGGAGCAGAGCGTTCCATATCCCATAGCAACCAATGCTAGGAGCAGAGCGTTCCATATCCCATAGCAACCAGCGCTAGGAGCAGAGCGTTCCGTATCCCATAGCGACCAGCGCTAGGAGCAGAGCGTTCCGTATCCCATAGCGACCAATGCTAGGAGCAGAGCAGGGAGCGCACCATACACAGTGGACATCGGTGTAGGATCATCGGGGGGTACAAGCGCTATGTACAGATATACGGCGACCAGCGATCCCTACTCTTGTTAGTTTAGTAAATCAGCCCCCATCTGAGTATACTGGGAGTACTGGGAGCGCACTGTGTGGTCACCGCCCCGGGGGGGGGCTCCGTTCTTTCAGTAGATGTTCTATTTCTGGGCTCTTCGGCCCCCACATGGGGGAAGGAGCTTTGTAGTCCCGGAATCTCTCCTCATTCCCGGGACCGGCGGAGGGTTTTCACTTTATATCCTTCTGCTCAGCTGGAGAGGAAAGACGGAGCCGGAGCGTCAGGAACATGGAATCCATCTTCAGCGATTGTGCGAGGAGAGCGGATAGGAGGAGCTTAGAGGTTGTACTTCATTCCGCAGAACCGGAGTCTCCGAATAACCGGGAGGGGAACTCCATCTACACAACGCTCCTCCATGGACTCCACGCCACCAAGTCTACACAACGCTCCTCCATGGACTCCGCACCACCAAGTCTACACAACGCTCCTCCATGGACTCCGCACCACCAAGTCTACACAACGCTCCTCCATGGACTCCACGCCACCAAGTCTACACAACGCTCCTCCATGGACTCCGCACCACCAAGTCTACACAACGCTCCTCCATGGACTCCACGCCACCAAGTCTACACAACGCTCCTCCATGGACTCCGCACCACCAAGTCTACACAACGCTCCTCCATGGACTCCGCACCACCAAGTCTACACAACGCTCCTCCATGGACTCCGCACCACCAAGTCTACACAACGCTCCTCCATGGACTCCACGCCACCAAGTCTACACAACGCTCATCCATGGACTCCGCACCACCAAGTCTACACAACGCTCCTCCATGGACTCCGCACCACCAAATCTACACAACGCTCCTCCATGGGACTCCGCACCACCAAATCTACACAACGCTCCTCCATGGACTCCGCACCACCAAATCTACACAACGCTCCTCCATGGACTCCGCGCCATGGACTCCGCGCCATGGACTCCGCACCACCAAGTCTACACAACGCTCCTCCATGGACTCCGCACCACCAAATCTACACAACGCTCCTCCATGGACTCCGCACCACCAAATCTACACAACGCTCCTCCATGGACTCCGCGCCACCAAATCTACACAACGCTCCTCCATGGACTCCGCGCCGCCAAATCTACACAACGCTCCTCCATGGACTCCGCGCCACCAAATCTACACAACGCTCCTCCATGGACTCCGCGCCGCCAAATCTACACAACGCTCCTCCATGGACTCCGCGCCACCAAATCTACACAACGCTCCTCCATGGACTCCGCGCCACCAAATCTACACAACGCTCCTCCATGGACTCCGCACCACCAAATCTACACAACGCTCCTCCATGGACTCCGCGCACCACCAAATCTACACAACGCTCCTCCATGGACTCCGCGCCGCCAAATCTACACAACGCTCCTCCATGGACTCCGCGCCGCCAAATCTACACAACGCTCCTCCATGGACTCCGCACCGCCAAATCTACACAACGCTCCTCCATGGACTCCGCGCCGCCAAATCTACACAACGCTCCTCCATGGACTCCGCACCACCAAATCTACACAACGCTCCTCCATGGACTCCGCACCACCAAATCTACACAACGCTCCTCCATGGACTCCGCGCCGCCAAATCTACACAACGCTCCTCCATGGACTCCGCGCCGCCAAATCTACACAACGCTCCTCCATGGACTCCGCACCACCAAATCTACACAACGCTCCTCCATGGACTCCGCGCCACCAAATCTACACAACGCTCCTCCATGGACTCCGTGCCGCCAAATCTACACAACGCTCCTCCATGGACTCCGCGCCGCCAAATCTTCACAACGCTCCTCCATGGACTCCGCACCACCAAATCTACACAACGCTCCTCCATGGACTCCGCACCACCAAATCTACACAACGCTCCTCCATGGACTCCGCGCCACCAAATCTACACAACGCTCCTCCATGGACTCCGCACCACCAAATCTACACAACGCTCCTCCATGGACTCCGCGCCGCCAAATCTACACAACGCTCCTCCATGGACTCCGCACCACCAAATCTACACAACGCTCCTCCATGGACTCCGCGCCGCCAAATCTACACAACGCTCCTCCATGGACTCCGCACCACCAAATCTACACAACGCTCCTCCATGGACTCCGCGCCACCAAATCTACACAACGCTCCTCCATGGACTCCGCGCCGCCAAATCTACACAACGCTCCTCCATGGACTCCGCGCCACCAAATCTACACAACGCTCCTCCATGGACTCCGCGCCGCCAAATCTACACAACGCTCCTCCATGGACTCCGCACCACCAAATCTACACAACGCTCCTCCATGGACTCCGCACCACCAAATCTACACAACGCTCCTCCATGGACTCCGTGCCGCCAAATCTACACAACGCTCCTCCATGGACTCCGCGCCACCAAATCTACACAACGCTCCTCCATGGACTCCGCGCCACCAAATCTACACAACGCTCCTCCATGGACTCCGCACCACCAAATCTACACAACGCTCCTCCATGGACTCCGCACCACCAAATCTACACAACGCTCCTCCATGGACTCCGCGCCACCAAATCTACACAACGCTCCTCCATGGACTCCGCACCACCAAATCTACACAACGCTCCTCCATGGACTCCGCACCACCAAATCTACACAACGCTCCTCCATGGACTCCGTGCCGCCAAATCTACACAACGCTCCTCCAAGGACTCCGCGCCACCAAATCTACACAACGCTCCTCCATGGACTCCGCGCCACCAAATCTACACAACGCTCCTCCATGGACTCCGCACCACCAAATCTACACAAAGCTCCTCCATGGACTCCGCACCACACCAAATCTACACAACGCTCCTCCATGGACTCCGCGCCACCAAATCTACACAACGCTCCTCCATGGACTCCGCACCACCAAATCTACACAACGCTCCTCCATGGACTCCGCGCCGCCAAATCTACACAACGCTCCTCCATGGACTCCGCGCCGCCAAATCTACACAACGCTCCTCCATGGACTCCGCGCCGCCAAATCTACACAACGCTCCTCCATGGACTCCGCACCACCAAATCTACACAACGCTCCTCCATGGACTCCGCACCACCAAATCTACACAACGCTCCTCCATGGACTCCGCGCCGCCAAATCTACACAACGCTCCTCCATGGACTCCGCGCCGCCAAATCTACACAACGCTCCTCCATGGACTCCGCACCACCAAATCTACACAACGCTCCTCCATGGACTCCGCGCCACCAAATCTACACAACGCTCCTCCATGGACTCCGTGCCACCAAATCTACACAACGCTCCTCCATGGACTCCGCGCCACCAAATCTACACAACGCTCCTCCATGGACTCCGCGCCACCAAATCTACACAACGCTCCTCCATGGACTCCGCACCACCAAATCTACACAACGCTCCTCCATGGACTCCGCACCACCAAATCTACACAACGCTCCTCCATGGACTCCGCGCCGCCAAATCTACAACAATGCCAGAAATATCTGAAATGCACTTCAATGATGAGAGTCGCTATGCATGCCGCGTGCCACACGCCAACCAGAACCAGATTTCCCCAAACCGCGTCCCAGCCGTTCCCTACAATGGGACCAACCTTAGGGGTGCGAAGGGTTAACAGACACCCTATAATATAAACCACAAAGAGTCCAAATCAGTCAGGTGTGTAGCCCCTCTCCAGAGGATGAGGACCCCGACCCCAGCAGGACAGCATTACAGGACATCTAGTCCTACTGGACAGTGGAGGAGGGGTTGGGGGGGCCATAGATGCTCAGAGACGGCTCATCTTTCTGCCAATCACCTTCTGTGGTAGACGGTTTGACTTTTCTTGTATTTGTCACATTTTTTAGGGCTTTACTAAATCTCATTTAAACAGTTACAGGCGTGTTGGTGGTTCAGGTAAAAGTGGGACGGCGCGTGTTGGTGGTCCAGGTAAAGGTGGGACGGCGCGTGTTGGTGGTCCAGGTAAAGGTGGGACGGTGCGTGTTGGTGGTCCAGGTAAAGGTGGGACGGCGCATGTTGGTGGTCCAGGTAAAGGTGGGACAGCGCCTGTTGGTGGTCCAGGTAAAGGTGGGAAGGTGCATGTTGGTGGTCCAGGTAAAGGTGGGATGGCGCATGTTGGTGGTCCAGGTAAAGGTGGGACGGTGCGTGTTGGTGGTCCAGGTAAAGGTGGGACGGCGCGTGTTGGTGGTCCAGGTAAAGGTGGGACAGTGCGTGTTGGTGGTCCAGGTAAAGGTGGGATGGTGCCTGTTGGTGGTCCAGGTAAAGGTGGGATGGTGCCTGTTGGTGGTCCAGGTAAAGGTGGGATGGTGCCTGTTTGGTGGTCCAGGTAAAGGTGGGATGGTGCCTGTTGGTGGTCCAGGTAAAGGTGGGATGGTGCCTGTTGGTGGTCCAGGTAAAAGTGGGACGGCGCGTGTTGGTGGTCCAGGTAAAGGTGGGACGGTGCGTGTTGGTGGTCCAGGTAAAGGTGGGACAGCGCCTGTTGGTGGTCCAGGTAAAGGTGGGACGGTGCGTGTTGGTGGTCCAGGTAAAGGTGGGACGGCGCGTGTTGGTGGTCCAGGTAAAGGTGGGATGGTGCCTGTTGGTGGTCCAGGTAAAGGTGGGATGGTGCCTGTTGGTGTCCAGGTAAAGGTGGGATGGTGCCTGTTGGTGGTCCAGGTAAAGGTGGGACGGTGCGGATGGTGGTCCAGGTAAAGGTGGGACGGTGCGTGTTGGTGGTCCAGGTAAAGGTGGGACGGCGCGTGTTGGTGGTCCAGGTAAAGGTGGGATGGCGCCTGTTGGTGGTCCAGGTAAAGGTGGGATGGTGCCTGTTGGTGGTCCAGGTAAAGGTGGGATGGTGCCTGTTGGTGGTCCAGGTAAAGGTGTCAGTTAGAAGGTGTCATAGAAGATATTGCAGGAATATACAGGTCAGCCACACGCAGAGAGAGGATCCGGGGCCCCTACAGTCACTATATGACAAGATACAATGTAACATACACAGTGAGAGGATCCGGGGCCCCTACAGTCACTATATGACAAGATACAATGTAACATACACAGCGAGAGGATCCGGGGCCCCTACAGTCACTATATGACAAGATACAATGTAACATACACAGCGAGAGGATCCGGGGCCCCTACAGTCACTATATGACAAGATACAATGTAACATACACAGCGAGAGGATCCGGGGCCCCTACAGTCACTATATGACAAGATACAATGTAACATACACAGCGAGAGGATCCGGGGCCCCTACAGTCACTATATGACAAGATACAATGTAACATACACAGAGAGAGGATCCGGGGCCCCTACAGTCACTATATGAGAAGATACAATGTAACACACACAGCGAGAGGATCCGGGGCCCCTACAGTCACTATATGAGAAGATACAATGTAACACACACAGCGAGAGGATCCGGGGCCCCTACAGTCACTATATGAGAAGATACAATGTAACACACACAGCGAGAGGATCCGGGGCCCCTACAGTTACTATATGAGAAGATACAATGTAACACACACAGCGAGAGGATCCGGGGCCCCTACAGTCACTATATGAGAAGATACAATGTAACACACACAGCGAGAGGATCCGGGGCCCCTACAGTCACTATATGAGAAGATACAATGTAACATACACAGCGAGAGGATCCGGGGCCCCTACAGTCACTATATGACAAGATACAATGTAACACACACAGAGAGAGGATCCGGGGCCCCTACAGTTACTATATGACAAGATACAATGTAACATACACAGTGAGAGGAAATGTTCCTTCATAGAATGATGCTACAAAGTAGCGATGGATGTTGGATGTCGCCGTCATTTCCAATCATGACAACCTTCTGATGAAGGACTTTGTTGTTGGTGACGACATGGAGCGTTCCTCACTTTGGGGGACATACATTTAGTTACACTTTGTAGTCTTCATGGGAGAGAAGAGTAGTGGAATCAGCAGAAGTTCAGTGATTGGATGACGTAACGTTTCCACCTCGTCTGCCCCCTATGGATGTTAAATAGATTCAAAGGGAAGCTTTATAAAATTATTAAATCCGGTGGGGGGGGGGGGGGGGGGAGTTATTTATTTTTGTGAGCTGTAGCTCATTATTTGCAAAAATAGTAAAAGCGGATCTTCCTGCAATCCTCACCTCCTCTCTGGGGCTGCACCTCCCCTCATCCCAGTCCTCTTCTGCGTTCATTGCTGCCAGTTGAAGACTGTTTGATACTCTTCACCTGGACAGGAAGTGAGGGGGATTCCCCTGTTGGGGACACATGACAAAGGGGTATAACACGTGGGATTCCCCTGCTGGGGACACATGACAAAGGGTATAACACGTGGCATTCCCCTGCTGGGGACACATGACAAAGGGTATAACACGTGGGATTCCCCTGCTGGGGACACATGACAAAGGGTATAACACGGGGGATTCCCCTGCTGGGGACACATGACAAAGGGTATAACACGGGGGATTCCCCTGCTGGGGACACATGACAAAGGGTATAACACTGGGGACACATGGGATAACACGGGGGATTCCCCCTGGGGACACATGACAAAGGGTATAACACGGGGGGGACACATGGGGACAAAGGGTATAACACGGGGGATTCCCCTGCTGGGGACACATGACAAAGGGTATAACACGTGGGATTCCCCTGCTGGGGACACATGACAAAGGGTATAACACGGGGGATTCCCCTTCTGGGGACACATGACAAAGGGTATAACACGGGGGATTCCCCTTCTGGGGACACATGACAAAGGGTATAACACGGGGATTCCCCTGCTGGGGACACATGACAAAGGGTATAACACAAAGGGGGGGATTCCCCTGCTGGGGACACATGACAAAGGGTATAACACGGGGGATTCCCCTGCTGGGGACACATGACAAAGGGTATAACACGGGGGATTCCCCTGCTGGGGACACATGACAATGGGGGTATAACACGGGGGATTCCCCTGCTGGGGACACATGACAAAGGGTATATAACACGGGGGATTCCCCTTGCTGGGGACACCCTTCTGACAAAGGGTATAACACGGGGGATTCCCCTGCTGGGGACACATGACAAAGGGTATAACACGGGGGATTCCCCTTCTGGGGACATGACAAGGGTATAACACGGGGGATTCCCCTGCTGGGGACACATGACAAAGGGTATAACACGGGTATAACACGGGGGATTCCCCTGCTGGGGACACATGACAAAGGGTATAACACGGGGGATTCCCCTTCTGGGGACACATGACAAGGGGTATAACACGGGGGATTCCCCTGCTGGGGACACATGACAAGGGGTATAACCCAGCAGTAAGGATGAAGGCGTTGTGTCGGGGGTTGGGTGGAATGAGATGCGCAGAGTCCTGATTCCTCAGATTTATGAATGATTAATGTGAGATTGGAGTTCCGGAATGCGGTTTTCCCTGGGGGGGGGGGGGGGGGGTGGGGGGGGGGGGGGGGGATGGATTCGGAGATTGGCTCATTATTTACTCCTCACCATATGTAGTAAATTAGGGAATGAGTGTCTTTTGCCTCGACTCTCCATTCTGTACGGAGCGGAGGAATCCATTAGCGGGACGTCTGTGAGCGCCATTCCTCGACTTGTCAATCACAGAACAAACTTCATCCTTCAGAGTCAGCGCTGATTAACGAGGACGCCGAGCGATCATTATCTCCTGACATGACTTTGATTGACAGCTCGTCCCATTAAATGGGCGGAGGACCACCCGCCGCTCAGCCGATCGATAGTTGGACAATGTAGGGACGTCTGTCATAACAACATATCAGAGATAATTAGCCGTCATCCTGGAGGATAATAATGTCCCACAATACGGGGAATTTCCGTCATCCATGGTGGAACGTCTCCCATCAAATCACCTTTATTATCTCAAAGTCACATCGTTCTTCCCTATATCAGCGCAGCTGTGCATCTGATATACTGAGATCGGAGGAGCGGGATTGGTGGATGGATCCCAACCAACCGATCAATGGGGATCCCAACTGTACCGATCAATGGGGATCCCAACTGTACTGATCAATGGGGATCCCAACTGTACGATCAATGGGGATCCCAACCGTACCGATCAATGGGGATCCCAACTGTACCGATCAATGGGGATCCCAACTGTACCGATCAATGGGGATCCCAACCGTACCGATCAATGGGGATCCCAACCTGTACCGATCAATGGGGATCCCAACTGTACTGATCAATGGGGATCCCAACCGTACCGATCAATGGGGATCCCAACTGTACCGATCAATGGGGATCCCAACTGTACTGATCAATGGGGATCCCAACCGTACCGATCAATGGGGATCCCAACTGTACCGATCAATGGGGATCCCAACTGTACCGATCAATGGGGATCCCAACTGTACCGATCAATGGGGATCCCAACTGTACCGATCAATGGGGATCCCAACTGTACCGATCAATGGGGATCCCAACTGTACTGATCAATGGGGATCCCAACTGTACCGATCAATGGGGATCCCAACTGTACTGATCAATGGGGATCCCAACTGTACCGATCAATGGGGATCCCAACCGTACCGATCAATGGGGATCCCAACTGTACCGATCAATGGGGATCCCAACCGTACCGATCAATGGGGATCCCAACTGTACCGATCAATGGGGATCCCAACCGTACCAATCAATGGGGATCCCAACTGTACTGATCAATGGGGATCCCAACTGTTCCGATCATGGGGATCCCAACCGTACCGATCAATGGGGATCCCAACCGTACCGATCAATGGGATCCCAACTGTACCGATCAATGTGCCATCAATGGGGGGCACAACTGTACCGATCAATGTGCCATCAATGGGGGGCCCCCCAAGGGACAGTGGGTCATCAATAGGGGGCACCAAGTATCAGTGTGTCATCAAATGGGGCCCCATGTGTCAGTGTGTCATCAATGGGGGGCCCCCAGATGTGTGTGGGGTCATCAAATGGGCCCCTAGGTGTCAGTGTGTCATCAAATAGGCCCCAAGTAACAATGTGTCATCAGTGGGGGTCCCTAAGTGTGTGTGTTTTATCAAATGGGCAACCAGGTGTCAGTGTGTTATCAATAGGGGGCCCCCAAGTGTCAGTGTGTCATCCAATGGGCCCCATGTTTCAAGGTCTCTATGCCTTCTACAATCATTGTAAATTCCTCCAGCATTATACTAGTAGTATGTGAATAGTCTGGGGTGCTCTGTGCTTGGATCGAACATTGGGACGTTTCTCTAACTCATTGATTTCCTTTTCTTGCAGCTCTACATCCAGACCACCACGCTCACCATCTCCATGAATCTTAGTGCCTCGGTGGCTCTGGGGATGCTCTACATGCCCAAGGTGTACATCATCATCTTCCACCCGGAGCTGAATGTCCAGAAACGCAAGCGCAGCTTTAAGGCGGTGGTGACGGCGGCCACTATGTCATCGCGTTTGTCACACAAGCCCAGCGACCGGCCCCAACGGGGAAGCCAAGACGGAGCTCTGCGAGAATGTGAACCCAAACAGTGAGTATCCCCGACCATACCACCAAGAGAAGCCAACAATAAAGTCCTCCCAACTTGTGACCATGGTAACTAATGTGCCAGGCAGGTAAATTCGTACAGGTGGCAGGAGCAGAGAGAGCGGGCAATGGGAGAAGGGGGAATAGGTGGTGGAAGCAGAGGGAGCGGGCAATGGGAGAAGGGGGAATAGGTGGTGGAAGCAGGGAGGGAGAGAGCGATGGGAGAAGGGGGTGAGTGGTGGGTAAACCTGTACGAATTTACCCTCAGGGGGGGGGGGGGGTGCTGGTGGGTGGGAGCAGAGAGAACAGGTGGTTGGAGCAGGCAATGAGACCAGGGGGAATAGGTGGTGGAAGCAGAGGGAGAGAGCGATGGAAGAAGGGGGTGTGGGTTGTGGAAGCAGAGGGAGAGTGTGATGGGAGAAGGGGGAATAG